TAAACAATTTAATACGATAAAATCAAGCAATATTATCAACTGTCAAACTACAATAGTCAATAACAACCCATAACCCCAAAATAATGAGGTTCTTAGCCACTCACGTTCATGACAATACTCAAAATATTGTTTTTTAAACATAAAAGCTGTGAATACTAGATGGAAGATGGAAGAATGATGAATCCCGTGCTCCGTTTGTGTTTCTTTGCCTTCGCTTGCCTCCAAAATTGACCAACCCCTCACTAATCACGTTTCGGGGGTATTTATATGTTAGGGTTGGAGTCTCCAACCCCAAATCCAAGTAGAAGACGTTTAATGCACTGACTAGGAAAGGATCAGGCCTCAGAGCTCGTGCGGCTTGGTGTGCAGCGCCCCTCAAAGTAGGATAAGCCCACTCCAGTGCCCGGTGTACCATGCCAAGGACCAGGCATTGCTTGGCTTGGCTCCTAGTTCTGAAATTTGTCCGATTTTTGCCTTTTCGTGCTCTTTTTGTGTATCTTTGACATCCTTGTGTGCAAACTTTACGATTTTACATCCTCAACTACTCATACACAGAAAAATGACACAATTAAGCTCAAACATCGCACAATTAATCATTAAAATACTAAAATGTAAGGTATGCAGTGCACTAAAAATATACATTTATAGACAAACATCAATACCCCACATTTAAACGTTGCTTGTCCTCGAGTCAACTAATAATTTACAATATCTTAGAGCTCTCTACACTTAACACATCCGAAGCACACTACACCAATGACTATGGTTGATAGTAACAATTAAGCTAAAGCATATGCATTCAACACATCCCTTTACTTTATGACATACTTCAAGAATATTAAAAATAGAGATAACGTGCTCATAACCATCATAACTTCAAAAAATGACTCAATTTTATAATGCACTCATGGCTTGAACACTCAACATTGTAGAGAAGTCTAATAACGTTACCTATCCCTCGTGAAATCATGTGCCCTCACAACAAAATCACAGAGAGTAAGTAGAATCCACACATTTGAATCTCATGATCCAATATAGTTTAAGGACTCTCATATATCAAAGAAGTCTCTCACTCTCACAAAGAAGTCACATGCATGCAATTGGTACCATAGGCTTGCCCATAATGTAAGTCTCTACTAATGTAGGCTCACTGGATTTAAAATCAATTAGGACTTTTTCATGGTTTTAATATGGGCTAAGGGACGGGTAAGATATACTTAGGAATAGTGACTAACCCTCCTAAGCACTTTAACACATCACATGATAAACTTTAAGCGCAAATTCTTCACTCCACTTCAATTTCACACATAAGATTACTCCCCAAAAATATGCCCTCTTTCCTTAAGCACTACTTTAATTTATATCCCACTACCAAGAACAACACTTGGTAGAAGACTCGGAGTATTTATATGTTAGGCTCGGAGTCTCCAACCCCAAATCCAAGTAGAAGACGTTTAATGCACAGACTAGGAAAGGACCAGGCCTCAGAGCTCTTGCGGCTTGGTGTGCAGTGTGCCTCAAAGCAGGGTTAGCCCACTCCAGCGCCCAGTGTACCATGCCCAGGACCAGGCATTGCCTGGCTTGGCTCCTGGTTCTAGAATTTGTCCGATTTTATCCTTTTCGTGCTCTTTTTTTTGTATCTTTGACATCCTTGTGTGCAACCTTTACGGTTTTATATCCTCCACCGCTCATACACATAAAAACGACACAATTAAGCTCAAACATCGCACAATTAATTATTAAAATACTAAAATATAAGGTATGCAATGCACTAAAAATATACATTTATAGACCAACATCACTACCCCACACTTAAAACGTTGCTCGTCCTTGAGTCTACCAACAATTTACAATATCCTAGAGCACTCTACACTTAACACATTCGAAGCACTCTACACCAATGACTATGGTTGATAGCAACAATTAAGCTAAAGCATATGCATTCAACACTTCCCTTTACTTTATGCCATACTTCAAGAATATTAAAAATAGAGATAACGTGCTCATAACCATCATAGCTTGAAAAACCGACTCAATTTTACAATGCACTCATGGCTTGAACACTCAATATTGTGGAGAAGTCTAATAACGTTACCTATCCCTCGTGAAATCATGTTCCCTCACAACAAAATCACAGAGAATAAGTAGAATCCACACATTTGAATCTCATGATCAAATATAGTTTAAACAAGTCTCTCACCCTCACAAAGAAGTCACATGCAATTGGTACCATAGGCTTGCCCATAATGTAAATCTCTACTAATGTAGGCTCACTCGATCTAAAATCAATTAGGACTTTTTCATGATTTTAATGTGGGCTAAGGGACGGGTAAGTTATATTTAGGAATAGTGACTAATCCTCCTAAGCACTTTAACGCATCACATGATGAACTTTAAGCGCAAATTCTTCACTCCACTTCAATTTCACGCACAAGATCACTCCCCAAAAATATGCCCTCTTTCCTTAAGCACTACTTTAATTTATATCCCACTACCAAGAACAAGATATCAATTTATTCATCTACATATTTATTTTTTTTTCTTCTCTTGTTTCTTTTTTTTTTTTTCAATAACAATTTTCTCTTCTTCTACAATTTTTGCTAGTGGTGTATTCTATTACAAAATAAGTGCACATTTCTTTCTTTCATTGGTTCCATTCCAAAGCTACCCAAACTCCTTCCTTACTTCTTTTAGCGCTCATTTTACAATTAAAGTGCCTTAAGAGGTAAAAGGATCAAAAATGTCAATTAAGAACATAAGGGTATAGGCTCGTAATGTGGGTGCCAAATATAAGTCTATAGGCTCAAAAGGGTTTACTAGGGATCGATTTTATTTGTAATAGACAATTAAGCTCAAAAAGATCAAAGAAGGCCTGAAATTATTTTTCAAATCGAGCATCACCTCAAATTTCGCTTCAGCCCACATACCGGGCAAGTTCTAGACTCAATTACAATACATGGACTACACAAAATCTCACTTCACAAATGGCATATGACTCACTGAGGATGGTCTCATTCCGACTCTCAAACAATGCAAGTATTCACAGAGCCACAAGATATTAAGCATTAAGCATAAAGTGAACAATAGTCAGGTACAAGAGACATCGGCGTCACAAGACATGCTATCCAATATTTAAAGGCATCATGCTCAATTTAAAAACATAGGGAAGATACTCCACATCTCAAGGCCTAAATATACTACTATCAAACAAGTCAAGGGCGCCTAGGAATTACCTCTTTCTTCCTCCTTTTATTTCCTACATCCTAATCTACTCTAAAAATAAAAAAAACTACTACTCGGTTCAAACTACATCCCATGAAAAATAATCAAGGTAGAAAGAAAAATCACGAGGTATTATTACTACCTAAAGGAAAATAAAAGACATGTTTTTGGATTTTTCTGTTTTTCAATTGTTTTGTTAGACCTTAATCTCTCAAGAAAACCATATAAGAGATTCATCATCGTGAAAAGTGTAAATTTTCTAATATAAATATATATTTTTCTTTTCATAGAGAATATTCCACCCCACTCTTAAAGTATGCAATGTCCTCAGTGCATATAAAAGAAATTAAAATCCAGAAGGTTGGTAAGAAAACTCCCTGGTCATTCTTCGTGATCCTTCTCATTAGCTCAACATATGGCCGTAACGACCCCACACTTAAGATATTACCACACGGTCCTTCAACTAAATCAAGGTTACTCAGACTTCACCTAGCATAATTTAAGCATGTTAGCGTCATACAATCAACTCATTCACATGTAAGCATAGCATATAGAGCACACTTTTAACAATATAACCCGACTCCGGTGAGCCACCCCACACTTACAATTTCATGTTAATTAAGCTCACAATCTACTAGTGTTTCAATTCTAGAGACTCGGGCTCCAATTGGGACAAACGTTGCCTTTTAGGCAACTTAAAAATACTTAGCACGCACTAGTTGTGTGTAAGCTCTTGCATGGGTGAGGGATTGCCTCACCCTCCCAAATCAGCTTGGGATTTTTGAGTGTAAGCACTCATGTACTCAACAATCACATTCCTATGGGGTTAATGGGGGTGTGTGTACTAGTGTAGGAATGGAAGAAAAGAAGAGAGGAGCGAAAACTTACCTGGGCGCCGCGAGCATGACCGCGAGGTACACCGCACGGCAGAGTGGGCAACGCTCACTGTGGGGCGATATCCAAGCCTAGCGACGCCTAGTGTAGGGAGAGCTTGACCTAGAGATGCGTAGCCTATGGTGATATCCTTTGTGGTTTGACCTTCGTTATCAACTTATTTGATCTCCCTTCATGCTACCGTACCTATTCAAACACCAAAATTCACCCAAAATTTTGTTAGAACCTAAAAAAAGGAAAAATCTAGTTAATCTATCTAAACAATGAATTGGACTGCCTCCCAACAAACGCCTTAGGGAACGTCATGCCATGGCGTTTACAACATCACCATGGGTTGCCTCTCATAAAGCACCTTCGTTAACGTCACGATACGGCGCAATGTGTTCCATCAAGCATCCACCAAGTCTATCGAAGTTTGGTGACGATGAACGCCACCACCCCAATAGTGTTTAACTCTTTGCTCTTTGACGAAAATGTGTCACCATGTATAGGATCCCTAAGTTCCACATCGCTATGACTTGTGGCACAAACTACCTCAAATGGACCACACCATCAAGTCTGTAGCTTTATAGGGAAGAGCTTCAATCTCGACTTACGCACAAGCACGGATTGACACAGGTTAAGCTCACAATGCGCCAGTTTCTTGTCACGCAACGTCTTTATCTTTCCCTTACACAATTTTACATCTTCAATGAACTGAAGCTTTTCAGACTCACTTCTCTTTGTGATGGCATCAACACTCACATCAATCCCGGGCACTATTGCCATTGGTTCAATCGCCGAAAGCATGCACAAGTCTTTGTAATGCTTGGGCAGGTTGAGCACCTTGTACACATTAAATGTAACTTCTTCATCATTCGCTCTCATCTTTAGCTTGCCTTCCATCACATCAATATGTGCTCCTCCAGTGGCCAAGAGTGGTCGCCCATTGGAACTTCCTCATCATCCATAGAGTCAAAATTAATGAAATCAGCGGGAAAGATGAACACCCCCACTTGTACCAACACATTTTCAATTATTCCTTCAGGCACAACTAATGACCGATCTGCTAGCTGTAGAGTTATAGTGGTAGGCCTAGGTGCTCCAAATTCGAGATGCTTAAAAACAGATAGAGGCATCAAATTAATGCTCGCTTCCAGACCGCACAAGGCTCTACCAGCCTCGTATTTTCCAATTGCCAAGGGAATTGTGAAATAACCTGGATCTTTCAACATAGGCGGGAGCTTACTCTGTACTCTAGCCCTGCACTCCTCTGTAAGTACAACCGTTTTAAACTCTGTCAACCTTCTTTATTTGTCCATAATGTCTCTCAGGTACTTAGAATATTTAGAAACTTCTTGCAGCACTTCTATCAAAGGTAGATTCATACGCACCTGGCTCAAGATATCTAAGAACTTTTTGTACTTGGACACACATCGTTCGACTTTTGCAACCTTTGAGAAAAAGGCGGTAGTGGCCTTACCTCTATCTCTTGTATGTGTTCATCATCTTTCTTTTTAGCTACTACCTCTAGTTGAGGTACCAATCTTTCAAAAACATCTTTAGGCACATACTTTTTAGGTGGCAGCTCCTCTAATGCTTTCCCACTTCTTAGATTTATTGCTTGTTCCTGTTCAATGGGATTTTTCTCAGTATCACTTGGGAGTGCTCCATTAGGTCGGGGATTTTTTTCTGCAACTAACTGCCCAATCTGCCTTTCTAAATTTTGAAAATCAGTCCTCAACTACTGGTTGTCAATTAATAGCTTTTTTAACATATCGTTGGTGCTTTCTTCTACCTGTTGTGGTGGCTTATTGGGCTGATTGTTGTTCCCTTGAGGTCTGTATGATTTTGAGTAGCCTGATTTCCACCCCATGATATGTTCGGGTTATTCCTCCAGTTGGGATTATACGTGATCCCATATTGTGCATTTTGGTTCATTGGACCTCTACTATATTGGCCCACATAATAAATAAATTATTTACCGGACATTGGTCCTCGTGTGACCTTCTCCAAAAATTTTACAATATGTACACATTTGTTGCACTTGCTACATCTGTTGTGCTTGTTGCATCGTCATCTTATTTACCTGATTGGATAACTTTGCTATATCAGTTCTCATGGATGAGAAATCATCAATTTCAAGAACACCTGCTGCCTTCTATTTAAGTGCTCTCCATGGTTCCCCGTCTCCTTGCCAATTGTTATCGTTAGCCGTGAAATTGTTCAGCAGGATCTAGATTTCAGTATACGGCCTAGACATGCAACTACCTCCACAGGCCGAATCAAGATTCATCTTGGATGCTTCCTCTAACCCATCAACAAAAGTATGACCCATGACTTCATATGTCCGACAGTGATGTGGGAATCAGTAGCTTTTTATATCTCTCCCAGGCTTGACGTAGAGTCTCGCCATCTTTTTGTTGAAACCCCAGAATAAGGCTTCTCATTGACTTTTTTTCTTTGTGGGAATGAATTTGATAAGGAATTTCCGTGCTAGATCATCCCATGTTCGGATGGAGTTTGCTGGCTCTTTGTTCAACCACTTCTTTGCTTCCTCCAATAGAGAAAAGGTAAACAAGGTCAGTCTGACATAGTCCATGGGGACCTTCAGATAATTGTATGTATCCGTAATCTCCAAAACTTTCTATATGTACCTCTTCAGATCTTCACTTGGTAAACCCACAAATTGCCTTGTGGATTGGATCAGTTGCACCATGTACTATTTCAGCTCAAAGTGCCTAGTTATCTCAGGCTTCATGATAGCCTGAGTGATGCTCGCAAGACTAGGCCTTGCAGCCTCAATCACCGGTCTCTCGTCATTCTTTTCCATTTCGATTGGTTGTGGTTGGACTAAAATGCCCAACTATGGAATTCTTGCTCTTTCTTCCGCCTCCCTCATTAACCTATGGACGGGTTGTTGATACCCAATTTTTCCCTCAAATTTTTTAAATAGTATATATACTTTCAAAATATCATTTTGCATCATTACTTAATTTACAAGAGTTATACAAGTATTTTGTATAAGTTTCATAATTTTTAAAGCTTTAGAATTAATTTTCTTGCATTTAAATTACTTGAATATTTATTAACTATCCTTTCAAATTATTTTGTGATGAATTAATCATCTAAATTTATTATTTACATCTACATATATGTTTTATAATATTTTACTTCATTTCATATAATTATCTTTGCAATTTTGAGCCATTTACATAATTTTATAATAATAGCTTATATTCCATGCATAATTACATTTACTACATTATTCATGCTAAAATAGTATTTTTATATTTTTATAAATGTGAAGTTAATATTTTCAATCATTTTATTGCACAAGTAATATTTTATTATCTATTAATTATTTTTATAAATTATATTTTGACATTTTTCGTGTATTTAATTATTAGCCCAATATAGGGCCAATTTTCGGACCAAAAACCTTGTCGAATACCCTTTAACCCAGCACCAGCAGCCCACTATCCTATACCCATCTCCTGACCTGTCCCATTTCCCCTTTTCTTCCTGGTCATTGATCTCAAATGATTAACGACCCATAATAATTCCCCACCTTTCCTTATATCCCCATGACTCAAACCCTAATCCCATTTTCCTCTATCAGCCGCCCTCAAAACCTCTCAACCCCTTTCCTCTTTTGAGAAACCCTAGCGTCCGCCTCCTGATTTCTCTCCGATTCCAACCTAAAAATAGAATCAATCCATGATTTACTTACCTATTTTGTGATACTTTGCTATTGTATACGCATCCGTGGTGTTACTTATTTCTTGCTCTATTTTTGGCAAGAACTCCTTTCAAGAGCAGGCCTGATTGACTCCGATTTTGTGAAGATCTGGCAATATTTTATTGATATATACTCTACAATGAATGATTCTCGCATTTCTGACCAGATTCATCTCAACTTGGGTTCGAAATTCTGATTTCCCCTTTACCGGTTCTATTACTGATTGCATGTGATATTTTTTCCTTATTTTGTGATTGGTTAATTATTTTCTATATTTTCTTGTTCGATTTCCACTACTATATAAACCCCTCCCCTAACCCCTTTAACGGACCGCAAGACCTATTCTCTCATACTCTCACTCACTCAATACTATTCTGAATCTATTGTTCTTGGCCAGCTGAAAGCCAAGGCCACCGGAATTTGATTGCTTAACCTCTCTCAGTGTGAGCACTGCTCGGGGTTCATCTGAGACCCTTGGAAACTATGACACACTGATAATTTTAGGGTTTCTGTCGTTCTCTCTTTGCTACTGATAAGCAAGCTGCTGCTGGCATTTAGTTTTATACTTTATTTGCTCTTTAGTTCTGCAAACTGGTAAATACTGAGACTCTCACAATTTTATTTTTGCTTGTGTTCATGCTTTGTGTGCTCATGTCATTTAGGCCTTTGTGAATCAATATGCTATTGTTCGCCACTGTTGGTATTCTTGTTTTCCTTTGGAATTAATTCCGTGCCTCTATGTTTTTCTAGCATCTGAACCTGTTTGAACTTTAAGCTTCGATGCATGCCTATTATATGTGTGCAACTTTAATAATTCTGAGTATTCTGATTACCTATTGTTTGTTATGAGATCCTTCTCATACCTTGCCTTGGGTTCTTATACTGAAACTCTTAGGGGATCGTCTCCTTGCTTGAATGAATTCCTTTATGCTGAGTCTTTTATGGTTAATCAAATGTTTCTTTACAAACTGACCATGACTGTGTGAATCCCATGTTACAATACTGTCTTAATGTCCAGTTGAACAAGTTTTTCTGCTATTTGCAATTCTGGTGATTGTACTCCTCGACTTGTTAATCTTGTATCCTTTAGCACTGCCTAAAATCTCTAGGGTAGATTTCAATGTTTAGCTTTTTCTCTTATGTATAGTCAACTAGCATGAATCCAGGTGTTTGTTTCCCCTGTTAGCCTAGAATTGATGTGTGCTTTTAGTCTTTTACCTAACATGAGCTTTTAGGGTCTTTGTGCTATGATCTATGCTCAGTATGTTAAGCCTAATGATTCAATTTAGTGATATGGCTGCCAAACTATGCCCACTAGCATATTGTTATGCTGTCACATTCTCATTAGGTTCTCATGTCAAAGCCTCCATGTTAATATTGTACTTCACTTGCTCTTGTCTATAACACTGCTAGATTATCATGTTCAAACCCCTGACTAAGGCTTTTAGGATAATTCTGGATCATGTTTTTTCTTGAAACTTTGTTTGAAATAGTCTACTAGCATACGATGGTTAATCTTGTTGCTCTTAATCTCTGTTCTGGAATGACAAGCATAAACTTGCCTTATATGTGTCTTGTATGCCTTCAAATTTAGCATGATCTTGTTTATATACCTTGATTAGAGCTGGTGCTAATTACATTTTTAAGATCTAAGTGTTTAAGTTGTTCAATTAATTCTATGAGTCGTTTGTTACTCGTTTGGTCAAATTTGGCATCCATTTTGGTAAATAAGTTATTTGTTGGGCCTGGGAGGGGGCCATATGTGTTGTTGGACTTGGTCACAGGATTCAGGGGGCACTCTAATTTTTTTCTTGTGAGCCTGTGGTTCGAGCCTGCTGCTTTGTCCGGGAGTAAGGTTATTGAAGGCTTGGGATATCCCTGGGTTATTTTGTATTGGGCTTCTGATTGCCTTAGCAGTTTTGTACTTGTTTCAGTCTATAGTTTGTCATCTTTAAGTATTTATTATTTCATTTTGGGCCTGTAATAGTTTGTAAACAAACAATGGGGAGATTAGTGAAAAAGAGGTTGGGGGTATCCTAATTCTTGCATAGACGGGTAGAAAACATGCCTATAGGACCTACTTGCTTTGCTCGTTACTTTGCTTCGATATGGTTTATTTCTGTGCACACATAGAAAACTATGCCTATAGGAATCACGCACATACTTCACTTAACTTATCAAAACATGTTGGCTCAAGTAATTACCACACTTGTTTCTAGGTGTACTGCTAAACGCTTTAGATAGCATGCCTATAAGATACAATAACACATGTTTTGCTAATTGTCCATCTAGATACCATGTCTGTAGGGTTTCAATTAATCAATCAATCAACTGCTTCTATTGCTCTTGGTACGCTGCTCCTTTAGATATCATGAATATAGGATCTTAATCAACTAATCAATTACTTTGTTACTTCATCGCATTGCCATACTTAGACGACATGCCTATAGGGATAAAGTATATAAAATCAATTTCAGTTGTTAACTACTAGAAATCCTGCCTATAGGACATTGTCACCTACCTAAGAAACATGTCTATAAAATCAGCACTGGTAATTCAGAATTCTGGGATCGTTTCACTGCCTCATAATGTAGATAATTAGAGATCATGCTTATAGGTTTGCAATGCCTTTAATCTGCAAATCTGTTAGCCTAAAGTTGCAATGCTGCTTGTACGATACTGGAACCCATAATCACCTAGAAAAGATGCCAACAGGACTTTAAGTCTTGATCCTGAAAACTGTCTATTGTTGAATCTGCCCGCGTGCAATTTGCTATTTATGTGTGGAGGTTAACTTGAACCCTTTGTTGCATTTATGTGCATTCCTATATGTTTTGAATGCGTGCTAGTTGTATCATTTTTGAGCATCCTAAGTGAAGTCTAGAACCACCCAAATAGAGGTCCAAAGCCTCCTGGACCATAGGCATGGGACGGGTAGTGCGCGCATAGGGTACGACCTAGAATTTGATTACAGCGCCTTTAGGTAAACAACTTTAACATATTAATCGGGTAGCAGGAGATGATAGTCTGTGCCCGCTGAATAATATGAGCAACCGCTACCTCAAGGGAGTTGTGAAGTATTATTTACGTTGTACGGGGTAATCCTTTAGGCTAAAAAACTTAGGAACCCCTTTCTTTATGTACTTGTTATTTACATTTAGTCGTTTAACATAGATCAATGTAGTTGTATCCTTGTAGTCATCAAGATTTGTACCGATTCTCATGTGTTATAATAAGACCCTTCGACTTTTGAATTTCCCTTTATTTATTTGATCACCAAGCCTAATTACATAATCCACATAGTTTAAATTTTGAACTGGACCCATAGTTGTGGACCTCGAAGAGTGCCTAACACCTTCTCTTCGAGGTAATTTGAGCCTTTACCCGATATTTGGTGGCGTTGACTATTCAGACAGAGTTATTCGCAAATAGGTGCCCTAACGCACCTTAAAATTGTTAGGTGGCGACTCTTATCTTTTAATACCTCCTTTAAAATGGGGTGCGATAGCATGACGACTCTGATGGGGATATACTTAGGCTCTTACCATAACGAACTTGACTTATGTGGATAAATTTCCTTATTTGTTTTAAAATGC